GATCAAATACACCCTGCAAAAAAAATTTAGACAATGTGTTATTTACCTTAGAATGATAAGTTGAAAACAAAAAGAATCAAAAAAAAGATCGAGAAAGGGAAATAACAGAGTATGACAAATAAATAACTATAAATATAAGAAATGCTAAAAACTAAATGAGTTTTTTTGTAGCACAAGTCACAAGAAATGAGCATGATTGATTTTTATTCTAATAAATATGTACGAATAATGATTTACTCTATGCATATTCAGGACTAATTGCAGCCTATTAATCAATATATACTCCGCTTACAAGTGAATTGTTGAGTTTTGATATACTCCTTAAGAAAAATATTTAAAGACTATTTTTTACTATTATAGTTTTAATTATTTTTAAACTATTCTACTAGAAAATATAAAACATTTAAGGACTTTATTAAATGAAGAGAATATTAAAAAAATTCTCAATATTTTCCTTAAACTTTGAATAATTAACTTTTTTGAACTATAATCTCAACATTTCACTTAATATATAGACCAAAGAGAGTACTCTTTTGCTGTGGAAAAGAAAAAGAAAAACATCGCATGCTTTTTTTAGTTATCTTAGCTAAATTTACAGCATAGTAATAAGGTTTGAAAATCACTTTGAAAAAAAATAAAAATTCCCCTAGGTCCTAGTTAATAACTAGGACTCAAACTCGAGGCCTCTGATTAAGAATAGAGCAGTCTCACCACTACACTACAACCCATATTGATACCTACTTATCATCTTTGATTTGCAGGTATGTATCTATTTGAGAGGTTGAAGGGAAATCAATTAGAGTAGCAAATACTTCCTTCATTTTTATTTATCCACTATTTTAAAAATATTTTTTATTTTTACCAATCATTTTTCACATATCAAAAAAAAATATATTATTTTTTATATGTTTTACTCTTAGCATTATTTTATACTAAACATCCATGAATAGGAATAATGTGATAAAATAGTCATGTCAATCATTTTGTTTTAATGGAGGTGACAAATTCAAATCTGACAAGTAAAAAGTAAATCGAGAGAATATTATAAATACCAACTCATAGTAGTAAACTAAACAAAATTGAAACACTTACTTGAAACTCCATTAATTCCCTGTACTTTAGGTGTCATCTTCAGTATTGACCTGGAGAATTTTCACCAAGTGATCTTTTCCACCATTGTTTTCTTTTGTATTGTCCTGGGGAATTTTCACCAAGTGATCTTTTTCACCATTGTTTTCTTTTGTATTGTCCTGGGGAATTTTCACCAAGTGATCTTTTTCACCATTGTTTTCTTTTGTATTGTCCTGGGGAATTTTCACCAAGTGATCTTTTTCACCATTGTTTTCTTTTGTATTGTCCTGGGGAATTTTCACCAAGTGATCTTTTTCACCATTGTTTTCTTTTGTATTGTCCTGGGGAATTTTCTCCAAGTCATCTTTTTCACCATTGTCTGTTTCTTTCTCTAGTGGCTTTGCATTCTCATTAGCTACATCACAAATAAACTTATCATGTAGTGTAATTTCAAAGGCTTTAAAATACACCACACAATTATATATGACTTGTTTCATTCTTAAATTGTATATCCTGTCAAACATTATTATATAAACTGGGATAGATGCTGTAATACATAAAACTTACAAATCTTTATGAAATATAATACATAAAACTCACAAGTAAATCCAATAGAGTAGATGAAAACTAAATTACCTGGAAGTGAACCATTTCCAACAAGTTTATTGCATCCTTGGCCATTCCCTTGATTTACCACATTACTCTGAACAAAAGTTGAGTAAGAGCCCCTATTATCATCCACTTGATTATGCGTTGAACCGTAGCAGTTGACTGGATATGGATATGTAGGGGTAAAATATGGCTGTGGGGGAACAAATAGATTTGTACCCAAACTAGTCCAATTAGTAGGTACCATAGTATGATTGTGGCAATAATAAGGGGAAAAAATCCCATTATCATAAAATTGCCACATTCCATAGCCAGAATTTGTAGGGTAAAAATTATGATAATTATAACTATTATTCACAACTCTCCGTTCCCTTGGCTCTGCTTTTTTGACCTCAACATATTTATTTATCAACCAGTGAAGTTTCTCTTGCAATACATGTGTTACAGATTCTTCTGAATCATAAGTAACAAACCCAAATCCTCGGGGCGTTTTGGTTTCTTTATCTGAGATAAGGTTAACTTGTTCAATTGTTCCAAATTTTTCAAAATACCTTTTAAAATCTTCTTCCGATAAATTCATAGGCAATCCACCAACAAAAATCTTTCTTCTGTTACTTTTGCTATTGCTATTTTGCCTTTGAAAATGTGGGCATTCTGAACCAAGTTGGCATTGACCGCTTGCACCTTTAGGTATCGCCAATTTAACATCAACCTACAATAATAATCATCAAAAAGCACATATCAACAAGAATTGATGGTCGCTCAACTAATATAGTTATACGCAAACTTTTTCATAATAACAACAACAACAACATGCCTGAGATCTTGAGTGTAAGGAGAATAGGAGATGTTACGAATAGTTAATTCTGATAGATTAAAAAATAAACCAAAATAGTATAAGAAAAGAAATATACAAAATTGATTAAAAATTAACTTCTTATATCTTTTCATTGATTAATAGTTTTACTTATTAAATTCTTAATTTTGTGAATTTTAGCTTGGCTTGAACAAGTCTACCGATTTATGGGGCTTGAGAAATATGGATAGGGCCAGCCCATGGGCCAAATAAAAATTAAAAATAAAATAGAGTATTAAAAATAACAAGAGTCTAAACTCAAAATCTGTTAAAAGTTTGAAATATTACAATTTAAATACAAATTATGTTTATAAAATATGTACTACATAAAATAAAAACTCCCTAAAATTTCTAGGGAATCACTAAATAGGTCGTAGCCTATGGAATATTGTCATAGTTTTTGTGTTTTATTATGATCATTGGAAAACAATTAGGTTAATGTTTCTATTTAGAAATTCATGTTTTTACTTGAAATCAAACTTAATAAATATTATAAAGATAATTTTATTTGTGGATTTGATTAACAAGCCGTAACACTAACACCATATATTATTGTCTTGTCGATATTTATGATAATATTTTTAAATTATAATTTAATTTAAAAGATTATAAAAAATATATTTTTAAGAAGAGGGCTGGCCACGTAGCCCACGTACTTGTGGGCTGGGCCAACCATTTTCTGGTCCACACCAAAAATGGGCTAATCCGACCTGAATCGTAAAATTACAAAATCTGTATAGGTTAACCCGAATGAGATGGGTCAACCCAGATTAACTGCTCTACTTTTCACACACGCACTCGATCAAAAAAGGTTTTTAATTGCTTTTTGGCCGTCAGGCCTTTTTTATGTAATAACTTCTTTGGTAAGGTTTTCTTACAATTCTATAAATTAAAAAAAAAACCTTTGAAATTAAAACTTTTTAATTTCCCTTTTTTCCTTACAACAAAGGGGATTTTGTATGCATAAGAATATTATTTTCTACATAGTACATGAACATAATTTAAGAGAATTGAATTCAAGTTTTAAGTTAGTTTTTGTTGATTTATTTTCAGATTGATTTGTATTAATTCATATTCATGATTGTTTTTCTTTTTTCAAGTTTGTAGATTTTTGCGGAATTGTTAATTATTATGCTAACGTTTCGAATTACTTAATTAGTCAAATCAGTCCAGAGAGAAACAGAGAAAAAAACGCGCTCTTGAACTATCGGAGTAGCTCTAAAATAGTTCCTTAACTTATTGGATTTAATCTTTTAATTAAAATCGGATAACCAACCACCTTTAAGGCAATCGAAAGCTAAGGGCAATATTATTCAATATAGGTGTTTTGAAAAGCTAAAGTCTGTATTTGTATTAAAAAATACATAAAAATTCACGTGTTAATGCAGATTTCATTGTAAAACTTTTCTTTAAGAAAAACCAAGACAATTTTATGTACTGACATCACGTCACGGTAATTATGCATGATAAACTAAATTTGCAACACAGAAATACAACAAGTTACCTATCGTGATTTAAAATTATATTATGAGTTAATATAAGTTAAATTCGAGAGAGAAAAAAAGAAGAGAAAGTTGTGCAGTTAGTACCGTTCTTCCAAGGATTATATGTTGCTGATGAAGAAGTTGATCGATAACAGAAGAATCGGCAAACGTAACAAAACCAAAGCCTTTTCCACAATTAGTCTCCCTAAATTTGATTACCTGTGACTTCACCACTTCTCCATAACGACTAAAGTGTTGCGTAAGTATTTCTTCACTTGTCTCCACCGATATTCCCCCAACAAATATTTTCCCTTGCACACAATTACTCTCCATTGATGAGTATGAAAAATAATTTCGAAACTAAAATTCAAAGAATTTAACTTCTATGTACGGACAAATCATATATGAGGAAGAGAAAAAAAAGGAATTATGAAAGAGTCACAGTTCGATTGAAAGTGCCCTTAATTAATTTTATAATCTTAATATATTTGTGGGTTTTCTCCCGCTTATTTTGGGGCAATATCCCAAAAAACCTGGGTAAAAAGGCGGGCTCCAAATCCCAATAAACCTAGGTAAAAAGGCGGCCTCCACTGACAAGAAAAGGAAAATTTTGTGTGTTTTTTTTTTGTGAAAGAAGGCACGGCAATCGGCAATTCGGCATCATAAAAAATGTTCTTTTCAAAAAAATTAACTATAGTAGTTAAATACAAACGGTACTTTTTCGAGAAATAATTATGTCTAAAATACTTTTTTTCAAATAAACAAATTTTAAAAGTTTGATCAAACAAATTATAAAGTTATATTTCAGTAAAATGTCTATTTATAAATATTTAACTAAAGGATCCTTCGATCATGTAGAATGAGATTCAACATTACAAAGGTTAGTTTTCCTATGAAATACCTGAATCAAATAAAGTAGGATGATACAAAATTTACCAAAACATAACCTTTGTGATTTTTCAGTACTAGATTCTGTAATATACTTTCAAATTTTGACATGGACTATTTACCTCTCATTCTCCTCATATATTAAAGGTTATGCGCACTATATAACATTTTGTTTGGTTGGGGAACAAGTTATTTCACGATTTTATCCCAACCCATCCTAAAATTAAAAGTTATCCCTTATTGCTCGTACCAAATGAGGCCTTAGTTACGACTTCCAGATTTACATACAACATATACAATTGGAAAACTAAACCAATATATACATCTACTTCCCTTGGAAATTGGAACAGAGATGAAACACACATTGAAGGCAGTAGTTATGCAACAGGAACTTTGCAGCAAATATCAAAGATATCTTCCATAGGAGCATGGTCACCGGTCCCTTCATCCTTCCATGCGTACAACAACTGCTTCCCTTTGAACAGAAACATCCCTCCCTGATATCAACATACAAATGAATATTACTATATATCATCTCACACACGCCAAGGGCTCGAGAGAAATTATAATTATACAGGTGCTAAACGAGTGTGTTGGACTACATTTGGGTCAAAACAATATACGGGTTGGATCACAATCTGCTCAATAGTTTCTTGGGACTAAACAATAGTCATAACCCCCAAGCCGTCCAAGTCAAATTTATATGTTTCATTTGCTCATTTATAATTTGTTTAATTAGTAAATTAAACTAATAAAGCTTTATTCTTTTGTTTATCATATATCAAACTCAAAAAGGCATGCTTTTCTATGTTAGATAAGCTTTTTTATGGGTCAATTTGTGCTTCATATGCAAGCCTAAATTGGTCCAATTTTTTACATGAGTTAACTTGGGCTATGCCCAAAACGACCTGCCAACTAATATATATCCAGACTAACCCGCTCATGTCTGGATGAACTGGACGGGTCATATTTTTATGGCCTAAACATGACACTCCTAGTTCATGAACAATAATGCAGCAGTAGAAGGAAGAACTTAAACCTGCTGCAAGACACCACTTCTGTCATCAGGAGTTGCTTCAATGGTGTAGTTCTTCGTAGCTTCCCGCAGTTCATTGAATCTAGAGAGCACTTTAGCCTGACAAGTAAAGGGAAAAAATTAGTTAAAGATCAAGTCATTCTCATGGAGCAGAATGATCATTTTTATGAAGGGAAACTCCTTGAGATCATTACACTAGCTGGGTTGAAAAATGTGCGGCCAATGCCATAATACAGGCCTAGAACATCGTATGCCTGAGATACAAGGGAAGTGTCAAAATCTTCAAGAAAAAATCGTCAAAGGCAAAATGAAGCATTCACATAGTTGTGGAGATAGACAGATACTAACCTTACGGTCCGGATCAGCATACAAGCAATCCAATGGAAATGGTAACTGGCCATAAATATGAAGCAAAAAAGAATCAGCTCAGGATCCTTAAAATATACAATCAAGTTGTTGAAAGCATGATAAGTTCACAGTTTAAATTAAGAAGTATGCCACAGTACTAAATAACTTTGGGTCACCTCAATGAATCACCATTATTGGTTATTTGACAAAACATAATGAAAACAAACAGTGCCCATAAATCATGAAGTCTAGTCATTGTGTTACTTAAGCACAATTTCTGAGATATACTTGCTAGTCCTCCTTATGTAATTCATTTCGTAGGGAAATCAACTTCCCCTTCTAGTCCAGATTCCGAGATAAACACCAATATTTGGAGACCTTACTTTATTCAACATCAAGGACATATCACAAATGAAAAATCACTATGTATGTTGTGGGATATCCGTTTATTTTCTTAAACAAACATAGCATGCAAAACAAGGATAAAGCAAAATGCCAGACACAGAACGAAAGAAGGATTCAAGTCCCTGGATTAATTCCCAACCCTTATTCTTCTTCTTTTTTTAAACTGAACCCTTATTCTTCTTAATATTGTATAAATTAGTTATTACCAAAACTCCAATTTTAATTGACGTTTTTCAGTAGCACATGTTTTAAACTCATAATATGTAGAGATCAAACCTCCAATATTAGTCCACATTTGCAGCAACAACAGTGCTCTTTGTTATTTGTGGTGTTGGGGCCAGCTTGTACGCACCTTAACATAAAAAGTTCTTGATATTTTTATTGGTAAAATCTGCAATAAGGTTAAAATACTCCTGGAAAAACAATAGGTTCAAAATCCACACTAATATGACTAAAAACTTATTCTCAAATCTCAACTAGTAGATATCACCTATATAGATCTTTTTCTTCCATTGTTGTCATATTCTTAGCTAAGTTTGCATTGGTTCCAAGAAATTATAGCTCTTTCGAGACAACTTCTTTCCCCATGATTTTAGGTCTACCTCGTTCCCTTTTAACATCTTCCATCACCATAGTTTCACATTCACAGAACGATGCATACGTAGGTAGGTCGATTAAAGACATGACCAAACTATCTCAAGCGACCTTCTCTCGTTTTATCCTCAACTCGTGTTACTTGCACGTTTTGGAGATATGGTTATTTTTAATCTTATCTGATCTTGTATGACCACATATCCATCTTAGCGTTCACATCTCTGGAACACTCATCTTGCGAATATGTTGGAATTTAGTGATCCAACATTCACTACCATATAACATTATTGGTATACTTGTCCTTTAGAACTTACCTTTCACTTTGGTAGACATCCTCCGATCACATAAAACCTTAGTAGTAGTTTTCCTTTTCAACAACAACACCAACATATCCAATGTAATTCACAGGTGGGGTTAGGAAGGTAGAGTGTACGCAAACCTTACCCCTACTGGGCTGTTTTCGAAAGACCCTTCGCACAGTAGTTTTCCTTTTCAACCATCTAATATTCTATGAGTAACGTTCATCTGCCATTCCATTCTCGTGAAACAACAAGCCTAGATATCTAAGCATTTGGCACCACAATCTCATTTAGCCTCATCTCAACTTCGCTCTTCTCATGCGGACTAAACTTGTCGTGCATGTATTCAGTCTTACTTCTATTCATCCTAAAACCTGTACTCTCTAACTGCTTCTTCATTGATCAAGCTTCTGGTTGACATCCCTGTTGGTTTCAGCAATTAACACTTTTGTCAGCAAATAGTACACCCCACAGAACCATCTTGTATTTTGTTGGTTAGCTCATTCATAACTAGGTAAACAAGTAGGGACTCAATATCAATCTTTGTTATAGACCCAATGTTATAGGAATTTTTATTGTATCTCCTATTACTATTTCACACTAGTAACAACTTCTTTATACATGTCCTTTATGGCATTAAGATATTTAATATGGACTAATTTCTTTTCCATCACCCACCAAATGACCAAAGGACCTTTCATGGTACTTTATCATATGTTTTCTCTCAATGACACCATGTTTAGATCTTTCTTCTTTTCACGATAAATTTTGATCAATCTTCTTAGCAGGAATATAGCCTTTGTTGTAGATCTACCATGCATAAATCCATATTGGTTCTCTGTTTAGGACATACTAACTCTATATTTAAGTAGCAAAATCAAGCAAACTTCTTCCAAATCAGAATAGAGGCAGATTCGGACAAACAGTATCAAATTTCAACCGACGACATATAACTCTATGCTTCCAAACTAAGGTCAGTCAAGAGTTAAGGCAAGTCACACACTATTTTCTTGCAGAAACCACATTTTGACATTTCTTGAATCAATTATGTGGTGTTTGTTTGTAGACTTGACTTGCAAATAAAGAGATTTAAGCTTGCATGTAAACTTTTATTCATGAAACTGAGAATGCAATTGTAACTTGAACTTGAATATATTTTTTCAAGTTGAAGGAGTATTTCGAGTAAGTTTCCACAAATATTCAACTTCCACTCATGGATCTCAACTTTGAATGAAACAATTCAAACAATACTTCAACTTTGAATTTAAATATGTTTCTGAAGGAACCTTAAGTTCATGGAGCCAAGTGAGCCAGAAGTTTGATATGACATGTAAGACCTTAACTAGCTTATTTGAAACATTAGAAATAATATGTCAAAGAACTAAATCATTCGAAGTAACAGCCAAGGTGAAATGAAGATACCCTTTCAGCAAGAATACGTGCTTTGTTAGGAGCACCAATACCAACTGCAATTAGCTTTACACCAGCAGAATCAAATCTCTCCTTTGTCTCTTTGAGTGCTTTAGCAAGTTCCCAGCTAACAAACAGCAATGCATATCGAACGAGAATATCAAAAACAAAAATTGCAGATAAAACACCAAAACAAAAAGTCTTGATAGAAAAGTGAAGTCATAATTTACCAGCAAGGACAGCCAAAATGCCTCAGAAGTGCAACAACAGCTACTCCCTGGTGAAGAAAACGACCCAATAACAAAATGTAATTATGTTACCAGAAAACGTCGGTTAGCCATTTGAAATTCATGAAACGGAGGTAGGTAAGGGTAACTACAGGATAACATAGGCTACAAGCCCCATTTTTCCATTTAAACCATATATGCACCACCAAATTGTTTGCCTTAAGTTTCTAATCTTCCCTACCCCTATTAAGTAATTTTCTTTTTTTTTTCTTCTGTATTGTTTCAGTCAACCTGGGCATACCTTAAATTTAATGTACTAGTTATACTGTTATCTTTTTATTATTTTTTTTTTTTTAATGACCATGGTGTCCGCACTACCTTTAGCACACCTCAACTAATTCCACGATATACATGTTACCTCCCACCAGCACTAGGTATCAGGTAACTCTGACCACCTAGGCTAGTACAAACGAGAAGAACCACCTAGTATTTTTGTTTCAATTGAGATTTGAACCTGCGACATCAAGGCTCTCAACCACTTCATTAGCCACTAGTTGTATTGTTATAGTAAGAAAGGATTTCTCTTTACAGTTTGTCTGGGTAATTGTTAAGTATTGTTTCATAATGTATCATATTGTGTTATATTGTATCGTACTGTATTGTTTTAATGAATGTAGCGTTTGAATAGATTGTATTGTTCTCCGTCATTACATAATGCCACACATCCATACTTTAAACAATAAACCTACTAGAAAAGTATAGGGTACGTGGTAGAGCTACTATGAAAAAGATAGGGTAAAAGATAAAATATAATTATTAAATAATTTAAATAAAGACAAAATGAGAATAAATTATTAACGTAATGATGCGATCACACCAAATCGATCATTACATAAAATATGGGTCTTTTCGTCGTTTCGTAAGGATGGATTTAAATCAAAAGATACAATAGATTTTAAGTAATAATCAAAACAAACATTGTATTTAAACTAATAATACATTACCATACAACGGGTAACAACCATCCAAACAAACAAGGTGTTAGCAATTCAAAAAAATCCCCAAAAATAGGTAATTGAGTTGTTAGAATTGTGAAATAGCAATACCTCATTTTGATCCCAAAGGTCCTCAAACTTGACGGACTGACCAGTAGCAGTGAAAATTGTAACATCTGCAAGTACATCACCAATGTCTTGAGGAAAAGCAGCGGTGGAAGCAGCAGCTTTAGGCAGGAAACTAGAAATTCGTTTTGGTGTAGTGGCGGTGAGAGAAATAGCAGAGGAAGGGAAAGGGTGAAGAAACTTCAAGGTGTTGGGAGTGGAAGAGAAGGAACAAAAAGAAGGAAATTTTGTAGTAAGTGTTAGGCTACTCTGCTGCAGAGATGCCATGGTTGCAAGTTGCAATTGGGTTGAAATGAAAATTTGTGGAAGAAATATGTAGCAAAGAAAATTGGCAACTTCTTAGCCCATTTTTTCTAGCTAGAGTACTAGATCAAAATATAACCATCCATTTTTATTTTCGTGGCTTTACTAAGTTTGGACTAGACTAAATTTATCATTCAAAAATCAAAACAGGATATTTCATTTATTTTATTTTTAAGGTGGAATTTATCTCGATGAACTAACAAATATAGCATTTAAAGGGTTGTCATCAAAATAAGTCATAAGAAAATACTACTCCCTCCGTCCCTATTTACTTGTCCATATTTCATTTTTTAGTTGTCCCTATTTAGTTGTCCATTTTGACAAATCAAGAAAGGACAACAAATTTTTTCCTATTATACCCTTATTTACACTTTTTGAAAATTGTAAAAGTGTATGTTGTTTCCCTCCAATTTATTTCACTTGAATTCAAATAAGTAGTTGTAATTTTGAAATGAAAAGTTGTCATAAGGGTAAAATTGTAACTTCACTGTGCTAATCATTGTTGCCTTAATCTGTGTGCCATTTCTAAAGTGGACAACTAAAAAGGGACGGAGGGAGTATAAAGTATGAAAATTTGTTAGTTAAAAGTATTTTTAACTATGACTATTTTTATTAGGCAAAATTAAATTCGTTGATTTTTGAGAACTTATGGTATGTGGTATAACTTGTGTCACTGAATTTATGAGGCATAACTTAAGTCACTAAACTTATGTTTTGGGCTTAATTTTTTTTTTTGCCTTCAAATATAATAGGTATCACTACGCTTGTGCCTTAGAGTATTACATGTGTCTTAATGTAATCTTTTTGTCTTGAGGCATAACTTATACCACTGAATATATACCTTGTGGAAATTTTCTTTTGAGTTACAACTTTTCTTGTATAGTTTTTTCGATGTCAGAGACATCTTCAATCATTATTTTTACTTAAAGCTCTGAAGGGAAAGAATTGAAGATCAATAATTTAAAGTGGTAAAAATTTAAAGACCGCTCCAAAATAGGGGCATTCATGTGATGGACCCAAAAAAAAGAGACAAATTCATAAAAAGATGTAGTTTAAGGTTTTTTAAAAAAAAAATTATTTAGTTTAAGGTTATATTTCAATGCACAAGGATAATATTCGTATTATATAACTCTACGATTTCTTTTGTTTTTTTAATAAAAAAAATATTTTTTGAATTATTCATATCTAGGATACAATTCTTGTAATTGCGCTGATATTTGACTGACAAGAGCAATTAACAGAATGACCTAATTTAATTAGGTAAAGTAGGTAATTTTCAAAAACTAGGATTGCTTTGTCTGTTGATTTAATGTGCCACTAGGTAGAATCAGTTCGTCGGCACTTGATTGCTACTTGATTACCTGTTGTGTATTGCGTTAAATTTTTAGTTTTGCAAAAAGCGCAAGTGGGCAACGCTCTTTTAAAAACTTAATAACTGCAAAATCTGTCAAATTTCCACTTAATTCCGCCAATCGATATTCCAAATTCCTTGCTTTGATAGCAATCATTGGCCCCGTTTCATTTATGCAATTGATGGTAGTATTATAAAAAAATATGCTTCTTGAGGATTTAGTTATTAAATTTGTCAAGCAACTGAGGATAGACAGATGTAGAAAAAATGTAGCAATAAAGTATCAAGTTGAAGGTAAGTGTGCTCCAATTAAAGCTCGTAACGGTATGAGCATGAGTGTAATGTTGCCTGTTGGATTGAAGAAACAGCGCAAGGACTTAAAATATCTTATTAGTATTAAATAAAATTATATAATGGAAAAGAAGTTAAATTTAAAGTTTCAAAAGATCATTAATAATAATTTTTTTGTAAGAAATGTGTCCGATAAACAAAAGGTCAAGTAATATAAAACGAAGTCACTATTTAACATATTGATAAAGTTAACTGAAGTATACATTTCCCTCAATAATTTCTTACCAAAACCATGATCATAACCTAGAATATAAAAATCAAATACAACAACTAAAAGAGCATAGACAATACACTTGAGATACAACACAGAGTGCTAAAATTCATCATTCAACAACCCCTGATGAAAAATTCCAACTCAAGTCATAACCAAAATCCAAGGAGCATTCAGTATGTCCACACACAAAGTAAGACATACGCTAACAACAGCAGAGTACTTGCAACTCACACACCTATAAACTTCAACACTCCACTCCAAAACCTCCTCATTCATAAATTCAACATATCTTCTCAAACACTCCCACAACTTCTCCACAAAAGATCTAACACACTCAAAAACAACTCTCCCACTCAAATCAAGAATATACCTTTTACTCATTGGCACAGTTAAAGCAGTACTAATAGGCACTTCATCATCCATTTCTGTACTTGTCAAAATTTGATAAGAAGTTTTGACAAATGTTTCTGTTGCACCATTACATATGGTCACCAGCATTTCTCTCATTTTCGCTTCATTCTTTGGATTTGTCAAACCAGAAAAGATTTCATTGTAAGTGTTGATATTCATTGTTTTGTCTAGATAAACAGTAACAGCAGTGCTCACAAATACTTGTACACAATTCCCTATCAGAGTATCAACATATTCAGGAACAGAGTAACCCTGTTTAACAGAACAAAATGTAAGTACCAAATTCCTGGAGAAATTCCCAACAATTACAGAAGCAAAACCACATCCTGCATCAGAAAACAGTTTATTTAAAACCTGATCGAACAAATCAGAATCTAATTCCTCTGTTTCTTGATTACAATAACCTCGAAGAATTCCGATAGTTAAAGCACTAGTGACCTTAACAATAGACTCTGAAAACTCAGCTGAATTAGTAATCTTGGAAATTTGCTTCAAACTTTTTGGAATTTCATCAGAATTTGATAACATAAACTCCTTTAGTTCTTTAGAGAAAATCCCAATTATATCAGCAGAATTAGACACCATTTCAGCTAAAGAAACAACTGAACCAAGAAACTTCAACAATCTTTTCCTCTTTTTAACCATAGATGGTGAGTAATAAGCTTTATATGCACCAAAACCAGTGATACCAAGAGCTCCCAAAGCAACAAGCAAGTTCTTGTTTTTTTGAGTATACCCCATACCCTTTTTTATTTGTTTCATATCCATACAATTCAGAGCAAAATCTCCTTAATTCTCAAGACTCAAAAGGGGTTTGAGAAACAGATTGAATAGAACTTGCTTAATGTAGAAGAATATGAACGGAATTTATTTATTTTCCCTTTTGGGGGTCACAGAAGCTAATCCGGTAGAAATTATACATGTACTATGAATCTTTTGATAAGAACGACTTAGATTAGGACAACTGGTTTCACTTTCAGCTTGCAGGTGTCCACATTTTTGTGAGCTAAAAAAAAATACACCATGTTTTTCAAAAAGAATGATTTTCTTTGTCTGTTTCAAAAAGAATGATATTTTTTTTTTGGTAACATTTTAATTTCAGCTTTCCACGTGACATATTTAAAGCCACAAGATTGAAGAGCAATTTAGTATATTTGACATAACTTTAATTTAGGACCACAAGATTCAAAAGTCTTCTTTATTTTCTAAAACTTTGTGCCAAGTCAAATCAGGTCACTCTTTGTGAAACGAAGGAAGTAATATTTTTGCTCTGAATTTATGATATACTCCTCCCGATCATTTTTCTTTTTATACGCATATTAAGAAATCATAAATAAGAGGATAATTTTATCGATTAAGCCCTTAAGAACTTCTTTGAAACTTTACAAACGAACACTTTCAAAAATAATTAATTACAAAGATAATATGAAAAATGTTTTTTTTTATTTAGTAAGGTGATCAACTACAGAGACAATTATATTTAGTAAAATGATCAACTAATATGGGACAGAGAGAGTAATTTAATTTGGTAAAGAAAAATTTTAAAAATAAAATTATAATCTAAAATAAGTTATAAATATTTGAGCAATATTATCTCTTATTTATGAAAATAGATTTATTTTGATCTTTTAAATATAATTTTGAGCATAATTAATTTCTGCAACTTTACTAAAGTGGAGCATTTTTTAATATATTTTGAAGGATCAAAATAAACACATTCTCATATATAAAAGATAATTTAGCCCAAAATAAACCTACTCTCAAATTTAAAATAAGTTTTTTTTAAAAATAAACTACAAAAAATAATGTCACGTAAATCAAAGAAATATTTGGTTGATATTAATTGGAGGATGATTTCTTCTTAACAATTTCCTCAGTGATTGATATTTAAATTTAAAGCTAGCTAAATTTAAAATATGTTTTTTTGCTTCTCCTTCACGCGAGAGAGAATTACAAAGCGTAAACTATAATTTATACACGTTTTTCGTTTGACCATAGATTCTCAAATTTAAAAAATTAAATTTTTTAAGTTGTGTTTTTTAAAATAATTATTTTTTTAGTTGCTTTTGAACATGAATGTCCATACATTTTATAAATGAAAATAAAATTTCTCCCAAAAATTGTTCGATAGGTTTTTGAAGACAATTTTTTACCACTAATCTAGTAAATAACGAGAAAATGAGCTCCAATGCACTTGTAGATAAGCTGAGCGTATATCAAGTACGTACAGTTGGATTTAGAGTAGGTTTAATTAAATTCACTATTTTTCATACTCGAACTATAATTTATTGAATTTAAATTTTAAATTCCCCTTTTTGAGCTAAGGTATTAGAGAATTATATTGTGCTTGTATCCATAGAAGTACTCAGTGTGTCGGGGCTTAAAAGAAGAGAGGAACACCACGCGAAAGAAGAAGGCGATTGAGGTAAGCCTAGTGAAGTTGTACCGCATGCTCCAAAAGTAGTACTATTCGGTTCAATATGTTTTTCGCCTGCTTCAATAATTGACTCATTAGAAACCTCGTCATTTGATATCAACATTGAGGAGCAAGGAGGAAGAAACTCTCTCCATTGCCCACCAATATTACTCTTACTTGATAATGAATAAGTTGGTGAAAGATCAAGAGGGGGAGGAGGAGGAGGCGCCACCTATTCATGAAAATTAAACATAATATCAATAATTAATAGTTGAAAGAGCTAGTAATGTTTCATTTAATATGTAAATTAATTTTTTAGATCTGATCATACAATTCAAACACGATATTATACGTCTAGTTAGCTAGTGTTCAATTTTCACTAGAACTACTCATTATTAAAAGAGTAAATTAATTAAGGGATGCATGTAATGGTGCGTGCTTATTGCTTAAGATAAAGTTAACTGAGATGATCACACAATTCAATATATATCAGCAACCTCTCGTGAATGTCCGGGGTTGGAGTGAGATTGAAACTCGGGTGCACCAGTTAACATTTGGACAACTTGTCTGAAATTAACAACTTCAACCCTATAGATTTTAGGGGGAATTGGTGGCGATGGAGCGATGGGCTTCTTGTTGATTGATCTTGATGAAAGGCTGCGAACTCTATGGAGAGAAGAAAGATATGGCTTTTCTTTCGTTTCTTCGTGTTGATCATGACCAGCAAAAGAACTTGAAGAACTAGAGAAGGAAGAAGAAAATATTTTACTTGAATATGATTCCATTTTTGAGTTATCAAAGTATAAACTTGTTAAGTAGAATTTGTATTGTTAATTTTGATGAGGCCTTGTATATATAGTGATTAGTGAAGGTGGCTAACAAAGTTGGGGGATTTTGTAAGGACAAAATATAAATTGTGGTGGTAGTAATAGAAATTAAGAAGGTTGTGAAGAAGATATTTAATGAAAAATGAAGGGAGGATGTAATGTGAAGTTTGTCTTGAGCGTCGGCTATATATATGGATGGATGAAGCTGATCAACAATAAATCCAATATTAATGTCCACTGCTCAATTTTGACCTAATTAATAAATTGCTCTCTTTTTTCTTGTTTCTGGTTACTTTCTTTGTTTCAAAATAAGGGATGTTTTGGTTATAGTAAAATAAATGAAAAAGAAAGGAATATGACCTCTATATTTTAGCGAAAAGTATTTTTTGATTTTTTTATGAAAATAAAAGTTCAAGTGTTTAAAAAATAAAACATTTTTATTTATTGTGAAATAAGATTGGAAAGAGGGACCTCTTGCGTCTCATTATCATCGCTCACTCGGCTATAATTATCACTTTAACAAACAATCGTTAAAGAGATTGGTCAATTATACAACCCGAACTGAATTCGTGCGACTCAATTCATTTTCTTTCCCAAATTTTATATATAAATTCCCACTCGATCAACCAAATGTACAATCTAATTCAATTTTTTTCTCGAATTTTATTTTAAAATTCTCACGTTATTTGTTGTTACCATTAAAAATATACTTTACATGTTATTTCTTACAAAATTATTATTATAAGTATCTTAGTAATACAAACTAACCACAGATAAATAATATTACAAGATTTTAAGAAGGAACTGTTCAAAAGTATCCTTATTTACATAATCAACAATAATGGAGTATTTTTCTTTTATTATTGTTCGGAGTAAGATAGTTCCTTATTTTTTTTAAGAATAAATGATTTTTTAAAAAGATTTATCCAATTTATATACTTCTTTCGTTAACTTTTACTTGTTATAATTTGATTTAACGCATTTATTAAGAAAATAATTAAATGATATAAATATTTTATCAAACTATTTTTTATTAAGTGATGTCTTAAAAAGTGATTTGCAAAATAAATATCTAATGCTAAGGATAAAACATAAAAAAAAAATTAGTATCTTTTTTTGATAAATTAAAAATAACAAGTAAAAAAAAAAAAAATTTTAAAAATAAATAACAAAGAGGGTAGAGGGAAGGTAAAAAAACAAACGCCATTTATTTTTGGGAGTAATGAAGTAACCTTTCTTTAATGCTTGGTGACTACCTGAGGACTTATCTCAGTTACACGTGCAGCCTTAGAGTTATTTAGTGGCGGCGCCGATCTTCTCTCTCCTTCGACTGATCCAACTGGTGAATAATTTTAGCTAGAGATGTATAAAGAAAATCAGCATACCGGACTAAATTGATAATTTGGGGGGGGGGGGGGGGAATCAATAAATACAAATTTGATTTGATATTTTTAGTTTATGTTATAATAATTTTGACGTAATAAAATAAAAGTTTGATTGATCATCCGCAAATTAGAGCACACTATTTTGTAATTTATCTTATTCAATTTTCTGATGAGCATTTTATATATTTTTACGTGTGTGGCTCTATTATTAGTACATTGCTTGTTAATTAAAAGTTTAAAAATATTATAAATGGACAAATAAAAATGAATTAAAAAAATATAACAAACTTTAATTATGTGCAACCGTGCAAAAGTAATGTCAAACAGTCTATTCAAACCTTCATTTATAAAACTCCATATTCAATCTTATTTGAAAAATCCAATCAAGCAGAGTCATAGTCTTTGAGAAAGAAAGTAGACGGGATTCTTCTAAAACTTAATTAATAATCCTCTATTTCTATTTACTTATCTATTTTCAACTTGATATACTTATTAATTGTCATGAACTCATGACATAGTGAATTTATTTCAAAATTAATTTACCTATTAGAGATATTTTACTTCTTTTCAAGAACATCTCTAAATGAATTGAGGGACAAGTCCAAACAATATTTACCGAGTATAAAGGGATAGAGAGAGTATCTTGAATTGTTAGGTGACGCCAAGTTAATTTGATGCTCATATTATCAGTGTCTTTTGAAATTTTACACGTATATTCACATGATACTCCTCTGTTATATTTTACTTGTCAATTTTGACTTAACACACATATTAAGAAAATATTGATGGTTAATAATAAATCATTTTACTGTTATAAATTGATAGATTCGAAAATATCTTTACTTACTACTGTCTCTCTGTTTTTATTTATATGTCATCCTTTCTAAGAATATAGATAGTCCTTAAGTATGTGTCATTTCATAAAATCATGCATAAATGACATTATTTTTTTTCCTATTTTACCCTTGAGAGTTATTAACCTTGAAAATAAATATTTGACCAACATAAAAAAACTAAATAAATAGTTTATGTCCATTGCTCAAATAAATTAATTCATGTTCATTTATTGAAAACTTGTCTTCAAGAGAATGCTAAATAAGAGTATAATGGTAAACTTACCTGATTTCTTAAGGAGCGTGAAATCTAAAAAGATGACATATAAATAGAAACGGATGGAGTATATTTTTCAAACACATTAACTTAATATTAATAAATTGAGGATAATAGAGTATAGATTAAAAAAATTCTCAAAAATAACACGTAAAAAGAGAAAAATTGAACAAATAAAAAGTGACAGAAAGAGAGAAATTAATTTAGTGTTTGTCTAACTTATTCATTGCCTCCATTTATATGTCATACCCAATTAACACTACAACAATTGATAACTAATTGAAACAATAAAGTGTAAATTGAAAAATAAAAAACATTTGTATCAAATGACTTTATTCTATAATAAAAATACGCATAGTTTGAAATAAATTCAATTTATCAAAGCAATCAATATTTGAGACAGGTAGTACCATTCTTGGGTTTACGTAGCCAGGAACTACATATTATCAATACTTGCAATCACTTCTGATATTAATACGTTAATTACTCTGTCTATTTGTGTTATTTTTTACTTTTTGATATTAAAGTTATGTAAATTTTGGTAACATTTTAAAGTAATTCTATGTTTTTTCATGCCATTGATAGACAACTTAATTTTTCATACAAAATTTAAAAATCTAGATCTAATCTCAAAATATTTAACTAATCTAATGCAACAGAAATGATTGGTTAAAATGATTTTTGGGAACTAAAAAGTACCAGATAAATAGATACTGCGAGAGTATAACACCTAATATGTCTTAAATATCGTGACGTCTTGGGAGTAGTAATCTGTTTCTTGTTATGAACATTTAATTAGGGGTGTGTATCGGATGCTTTGGTTTTCTATTATAGATTTAGTTAATTGATTTGTTTTTTTAAACATGTTAAGCTAAGAATGATAAAGATATTTTTTATCGATTTTTGATTTAGTTCGACTTTCGACTTAACAAATAAGAAAATATTTATAAAATAAATATATAATTTCTTTAATTATTTGACGCAATAGGATAATAATGTAACTTTAAATAATGCTCACAAAATAAAAACTAAAAAAACTACACATGAAATTAAGAACTATACAAGTGCAACACAAATAAAAGAACAACGACAATAATGTGAATTAAAGACTAAAGAGCAAGGTAATCATCAATAAAGTAACGCTATTATTATTTAATATTTATGTAGTGGTAAGTAGTAAATTACTATAATTTTATGGATTATCAATTTATTTAATAACTTATATTTAAAAATCAAATTCGAACTAATAATTCAATAAAAAAAATTTATAAACCATTAAAACATGTTAACTCAATATCAATAAACTAATAATATTTTTTCGTCGATTTATTAATCTATTCGATTTTACAGACCCAACATTTAATGATCAAAATTTATTGCTTGCCAATAATTTGGAATTCAACTTAGTACAATTACGAACAAGAGTTTTGGTCTTCGAATAACAAACTCACTTGTAATAATTCAAAACAAAGACCAACTAGTCATGCCCAACTTGTTGAAAAGTCTCGAATCTTTCAAGGTTCATTATTGAAAGTCATACTACTACATTATTTTGTTTTGACTATGAAGCACCTACGTATCACTCTTATGTTTATTTTTATTTATTTATTATATTAAAAATAATTATTTATTAAGTATACAAATTTAAGAGATAATTTATTATTTAGTTTTTAATTGTCCTTATTAAATTTTCAAGACGGTGAAGTTATTATATTCAAAGGTTAAGACTTGATATAATAAAATTGTCATTCTATTTATTATAAAAATAAAAATATTTTAAAAGTTTTGTCTGATTTAATTTTCTTGATTCTTTTTCTCTAATCCTATTTAGCTTCTTTTTTTTTAATTCTTAATTTGGAAAGACATATAAAAAGTTAAGGTAAAGTTTAATTCTTTTTACCTATACTTTTTCCTTTTGAAAATTACTCATTTTTATTATTAAAGACATAATCACACTGTTGAGTGAAGTGGATTTGCTTTAAAACAACAAATTAATTAGATATTAATGCATCAAGGTGGAGGCATAGTCGGTTTAATTGAGAAAATCATAGGTGTTGGTGCTCATGGACAATCCAGCAATATTTTTTTGCAACAGAATACAATATAGTATTTGAATTTTTTATGAATTAATTACGAACAAATATAATTAAAATGTTAATGCTACTATAATTGATCCAAATTTTAGAATCTTAAGCAATTTGGTCCACAACAATTGCCTCTTCTTTTTCTCTTGTTTTTTTTTTTTTTTTTTTACCATCGTCCTTTTTTCTTTTTCTTTTTTTTGGTTTTTTTAGAGAGGCCCCACCACCATGGAGCTATAGATCCCACAACAGGTTACAAGCTTAAAATGGATTTAAAATTTTAAACCTAAAGTATTTTGGAATTGTTTTGAATTAGATTTGAACTAAATTTCAGATTTGGCTTTTAGAATTGTTAGTTATTTGTGTTGGTTCAATAGATTTT